TACCATGTTGATGAATGAGGCAGTTTGCAACCCAGTGTGCACATTTACTCCTCAGTCACAAAAGATGCAACCTTTGGAGAAATGCGAGCTCCACTCACTTTCTGCAGAGGTCAGCCGATCAACATGATTGTTGGCAGCTGCCATTAATAATAAGCAAAGGCACATAGTGCTTGGCCCACCTGATTTTAACTGGGCATGAGTAGGATGGGGGTGAGGAAAGGGGAGAGAGAAGGTATGAATGAGGGAATGAGCTGAGTATGTGTGTGCACCTACTCACATGAATGAGTGCGCATGCATGTTGGTTGATGACTTGGCAAACTATGCAAGTTTCAAGGACAACACTGTTGCCTAACCTTAATGATATGACTAATATTTTGAATTACAAATATAATTATAGCCCAGGATACATAAGGATTTACACACACACTTACTTGCTTAGGATAGCATAGATTTTGCTTCCACAGGATCTACTCCATAAAAAGCTGATGTCACATTAAGTGTAGCCTTAAAGGCAAAGTTTCCTCTGTGCAGTGCACGTGCATGGCTACCCAGCACCCATCACACGACCATGTGCAAAACTTGGTTTTCCACTGTCTGTCAAGGTTGATGCACTAATAAAGGGTGTTTTTGCAAAACAGTAAGGGAGGGAGGGAGGGAGGGAGGGAGGCTTCTGACCTGAGAGCTAGACCAGTAGATTAAAGCCTTCCTCCAGGCTCCAAGCAGAAGAAGGAACGGAGCAGAGGGAAAGAAGAAATGAAGGAAAGGGGAAAGCTATGGGGGAGGCAGTAGTTCATGCTAATAATGAAAAGAATGAATCAGGGATGAAATTGATTAAAAAACAGTATTAACTCAGATATTCCTATTTAAGTTATTTTTTAACATTGTTTTGTTATGTATATGTGTATTTTATGTACAACACTATTTTCTGTTGAATAAAAATTATGTAACACCTCAACCTTTTTTATAATTTTGGGAGCTTATAAATGTAAAGTGTGTTATGTGCTTTTTTCAAGATCTGCTGCCCCGCCCCCTCCCCCACCTTGGCCCAGGGTTGCCCAGGACAAGCCAGTGGGGCTGCTCATAAGACATCATGGCTTGTGCATCTGCTTCCCTGGCTTAGACAATACATTGCTTGAAGGTGCCACAACTGATTTGGCTCCTTGTCCCTCACCAGACACAAAGTAAGTTACAACTCCTCATAATTGATTATCCTATGCCAACAAACGTGGTTCATTG